TTTATATATTTTTTTATTGTAACGAGTGCAAGAAATCAGAAGTGTTGCCTCAAGGGAAAGAATAAGCCAACTTCCACTAGAACTGACCCCCAGGGGTTTACAGCTCCTGCATCATCTTGCTTCTATCTTGCCCTCTGAGCCACCTAAGATATATGCCAAGTATAACAACTTAAATTTATATTACATACTGCTAGTTTAAATACTGGGAGAGTAACTGTTTAAATATATTAATGTCACCAAACTAAATATGAGCATGACAGCGAGATGTCTCAAACTAATTACATAAAAAATAAAATCCTTTATAAAACACCCTGGATTACAGAAAAATTTTATAATTTAAAAACAAATACTATAATTGGCATTTACTACAAGCTGCACAATCAACGGTTTCTTGAAAGTAACTAAGATTCATTCAATACTTACATTATTCTTTAGGATATTCACTTAAAAAAATATATTAGGTATAATTTACTTGCTATGTCTCCAACCCCCTACCCCCATTTATCCATGAAAAGTAAAAAAAAAAACTAAATTTCATTAGTCATGGTATTTGTGTCATCCTCCTCTTGACCAGGAAGAATTAAGTATGTGTTAAGAAACTCTTCTACAGAGTCAGTATTCCATTTGTCAATAGCTAATGTCTCCATTACATCACCATCTTCATCCATCAGTTTAATGACTGGATCTGCTCCTCTTACATACCTGTTAATAGAAAATGACTTAGTATAAAGTATTATGCTTAAACCAGTTAAAACTATACAATTAGCAGTAAGTAAATTTCATAATGACACTAAAATAGGCCATCAGATATCTGACAAGGAAACTAGACAGCTACAAAAGAGGGAAAAGGGGCCCTGCTTAGTGCCCAGATAATACAGCACAAACCCCTATTCTACTATAATACAATATAAGGAAGGAGAGCCTTCACTAAACTGTAGTGCATCAGAATTTCACTGAGAAGTTTGCATCTAGTAGCTACAGCAGTTGTAGCTTGTATAAAGTAGTGCTGGAAAATAATAGTAAAGTCAAATTAAGTACTAAACCTGAAAGGGTCTATTGCTGAGAAAAATGAAATGGATACATTAAAGAATACTTGACCACTCCAGTACAACCATCAAATATTTGGAACTCAGCATTCACATCAACACAAGAGCCATAGCCATCCATCTCAACCTAGCAAGGCGTATCAGTTCTCCACAATTTTTTGTCAACAAATAGTAGAAACTACAATGTTTAAGCAAGAGAAAATTACAAAATCACGTTTTATATCTAAAAGAAATTGTTTGGCTTTTTGGGAAGTCTACGAACATAACTTTTTCCCCATATATTCTTCAGATTAATTAGCACTAAATCAGATTCTCAGAAATGCAACCTAAACTCTTAACAAGCCCTCTTCTGCTCTATGGAATGCACCTTTAATATCACCACACCTTATTTCCCGATTCATAAAATCTCAAAATATTTACAATGCCTATTAAGTTCAGACAGAATGTCTCCAAACTTTTCTCATTATATTCAAAATATGATTTTTCTTAAATGTCCTAAATTTTTAAACAAAAGCAGCTAAGACAAATGTATTTTCTACTCTAAAGATATTTAATATTTTAAAAGCCTTCTCTTTATATTTTTATATTCTACATTTTTATACAAGTACAGTGAATCCCCGGTTTACGATATTATTTCATTCCAGAAGTATGTTCAGGTGCCAGTACTAAACGAATTTGTTCCCATAAGGAATATTGTGAATTAGATTAGTCCATTTCAGACTCCCAAATATACACGTACAAACACACTTACATAATTGGTGGCATTGGGAGGTGATTGTAAAGCAGGGGTCCACTGTACTGTAATAATAATAAATTTCTACAAGTATACATGTACAAGGTATATAGGCCTAGCTGACATCAATGACATGCTATATAGAAAGCCCCTTGTTCTGCAGAGCATTTTGGGCAAATTAGGTCAATTTCTCCCAGGATGCGACTCACACCAATCTACTAATACCCAGCTATCCATTATTATGGGTGAACATGGACAACAGGCATCTTCAAGAAACGCGTCCTAATGTTTCCACCCATACTGGGGATCGACCCCTGGACCTCAGCGTGTGAGCCATGTGTGCTAGCAATTGAGTTACAGGACACCTAACCACAACAGCATGAGTAGCAAAGCTAACAAATAATGCCAGAAAAGTGTACATTATGCAGATTCAAAATTAGGCATGGGTAACTTTTTTTTTTTTTTTTCAGCATTTGAGAACATACCCACAAAGTGGGTATGAAAAAAAGAATGTGCACTACTACTACAACAACACAATATCCTTTAATATACTCACTTAATAGTAAGGTTTGGGAAAGCTGCAGGCCGGTCACTCTTCACGAATGCTGTAGTAAAATGGAAAGTCATAAATCTGACAGTCACAGTAATTAAAGCGTTATTAACTACTGGAACCTATGGGTAATGTAGCAAATTTTAAACCCTTTACATGTCTAATAGAGTTGCTAACTTTAACATTTTATCTTGAGATGGTCAAATATGGGCACTTAAGACTGATATTTGAAATACAGTGGTACCTCGGGATACGAACTTAATTCGTTCCAGAAGGCTGTTCGGGTGCTGATACCGAACAAATTTGTTCCTATAAGGAATTATGTAAATTAGATTAATCCGTTTCAGACCCCCAAAAATACACTTACAAAAGCACTTGCATAATTGTTTGCATTTTGAGCTGTATCACATATGTCACAGTGCTGAGTAAGTGAAGCAATCAGTAACATCATTCATGTCTATAATAATAAATAATTATTGCCAGTGTTTAAGATATAGAGTAACACTTAACAGGTTTCCATTGAACAGGCATCATATAGGGTAAAATCTTGAAGAGTGGCTCAAAGGTAAATGATTTCCTTGAGTTCACAATGATTTAAGCACCCTTGTACAACATGGATAATAAACTAAACCAAACAATATACAGTATGTTGGAGCAGTAATGGAAGCATTATGTACTGTATTATCTGAAGGGCAATTTTAATAAATATTCCAGTATATTAAATTAATTTTAATATTAGAAGCATTCAGTGATCTATGTAGAAATAAAAATTACCATATTCACAAAGTACTAAACCTGAATGGGTCACACAGTGCCAGTTTTCAGAAGAATGGCACATGAAAGGGGAGATTATGCAAAAGAGTATCACACTCGGTATGACTCTCTAATCCAAGAAATCATAAGAGTATCTGCAATGATAATGGGACCACGCAAGAAAATAGCAGTAAGAGTAGGGGATTGTCAAGGTGTCTTTAATATACAAATATGTTGCAGAGTGAAATTACTAGGTCTCAAATTTTCACTAAGGTTGAAATTACAGGCAGCAACAAATCATACAATGGAGGATTTTACACATGGCCTCCTTGATGCATGCTGTCTTGTCTCAAGGCCTAATTAGCAGCTGTTACTACATTATGAAGAGTATGTGTAACAGTCTTTGATAAGTCACCTTCAGCTAGGTGACAAAGAAAGAATGGAGAGACGAAGGAAATGGGAAGGAGGGTTGTGAGTGGTGAGAAGTACAGTACACAAACAGTAGTTATGAATTTCAATAAAAATAAGAATTAAATACAAAATAATATTGTTTAGCTCTGCATCTTAAATGATAGCATAGCTATTTAAGGAGCTACTGAATGAGCCTAACATGATTTTCATATGATGACCCTTTTTTTGTGGTACTTATCTGAATCCTTTAATGGGTGTGAACTTTAAACTGTCAAATGCTCCCCTCTTCAGAACACTCCTGACTTGATCTGACCATGGCCTTTTCCTCACCTCACTTGACCTCTGATGTCTCCTAACCTCTTCACCTGATTTGACTTCTGGCTTACTCCCGGTCTCTCTCTCAATGACTTGATTGTTCAGCATGAGCCAAAACATTATCTAAAGATTTATCTCCAATTTGCAAGTCAGTTGTAGAGGACTGCATGTAGGAATGCTTGTTCCAACCCTATGTATGGATTTAAAATGCTGGTGTGGCAGGAACAGTCAAGTTAGAGCAAAAGAAGTGTATATTATGAAAAGCATGTGTAGCACTGCGACAATAAGAGAAGAAATGGTAGTGGTATTGAAGGATGCGGAGTGTCTCATGCTCAGGAATTAAAAGTGTAAAACATGCAAAAATGGTATAATCATGTTTAACTAATATGTTTAGAAGGACCTTCAGGTTAATGCCACCTCACCCTATAAAACGGAATACAGAAACAAATAATTAAAACATACAGTATATATTAAAAATAATAATATTTTAGTACTAAGTTCAGGAGAGGGGTGGGATTAAATTATGGGGAATCAAATGCAAAATGGGAATTGACACAGGTGCTTTTTGCTGATGATACTGTGCTTAACTGGAGATTCTAAAGAAAACTTGCAAAGGTTAGTGGATGAGTTTGAGTGTGTGTAAAGGTAGAAAGCTGAAAGTGAACATAGAAAAGAGAAAGGTGATGAGGGTATCAAATGATTTAGATAGAGAAAAATTGGATATCAAATTGGGGAGGAGTATGGAAGAAGTGAATGTTTTCAGATACTTGGGAGTTGACGTGTCAGTGGATGGATTTATGAAGGATGAGGTTAATCATAGAATTGATGAGTGAAAAAAGGCGAGTGGTACGTTGAGGTATATGTGGAGACAAAAAATGTTATCTATGGAGGCAAAGAAGGGAATGTATGAAAGTATAGTAGTACCAACACTCTTATATGGGTGTGAAGCTTGGGTTGAGAATGCTGCAGTGAGGAGGCAGTTGGAGGCAGTGGAGATGTCCTGTCTAAGGGCAATGTGTGGTGTAAATACATGTACTATGCAGAAAATTCGGAGTGTGGAAATTAGGAGAAGGTGTGGAGTTAATAAAAGTATTAGTCAGAGGGCTGAAGAGGAGCTGTTGAGGTGGTTTGGTCATTTAGAGAGAATAGATCAAAGTAGAATGACATGGAGAGCGTATAAATCTGTAGGGGGAGGAAGGCGGGGTAGGGGTCGTCCTCGAAAAGGTTGGAAAGAGGGGGTAAGGGAGGTTTTGTGGGCGAGGGGCTTGGACTTCCAGCAAGCGTGCATGAGCGTGTCTGATAGGAGTGAATGGAGACGAACGGTATTTGGGACCTGACGATCTGCTGGAGTGTGAGCAGGGTAATATTTAGTAAAGGGATTCAGGGAAATCAGTTATTTTTATATAGCCAGACTTGAGTCCTGAAAATGGGAAGTACAATGTCTGCACTCTAAAGGAGGGGTTTGGGATATTGGCAGTTTGGAGGGATATATTGTGTATTTTTATACGTATATACTTCTAAGCTGTTGTATTGTGAGCACCTCTGCAAAAACAGTGATTATGTGTGAGTGAGGTGAGTGTTGAATGATGATTAAAGTATTTTCTTTTTGGGGATTTTCTTTCCTTTTTGGGTCACCCTGCTTTGGTGGGAGATGGCCGACTTGTATAAAAAAAAAAACTAAGTACTATTTAACCATCAATGTTACTGTGTAATTTGTGCATATTTTATGTATCTGTAACCATGATTCAAAATCCCAACAGGCACGAATATATGACATTTAACAGTTTTAGTGTTCATATCAAGGAAAAAATGCATCACTGACCCTGGACCTGCGGAAAGGCTCCCAGTCGTCATCCACAGACTTCTAACTGTGCTCGTGGATACTTTGTTGGAGAGGCATTGACATCATCCACATTGCAGCATTTTCTGCAGTTTGATCTGTAAAATTCAAGTTATTAGGTACAGACAGTATTAACTACAGGTATCATCCGACTTATGACCAAGTTTGGTTCCGACCAACTGGTCGTTAGTCAAAATGGATGCAAGTCGAACCTTACTACTGAATATCAACATCACACTTTTGTAATTATTTTATTTTATTCTTTTATTTTAGTCTCATTTTTTCCTTACTTTTTATGCTGTTAGTACTGTATTTTATACTGTAAAGTTTAGGATAAACACTTTGTACAACACAAACGGTTGTTTATTTCCCAGAAATTTGGCATAAAAAAACGTGGTCGTAAGTCGAGTGGTCATATGTCGAGCAGGTCACAAGTCAGATGGTAGGTATACTTACGTACTAAAACAGTATATGAATACTTAACGTGCAAAATAATTTTAACTAAAGGATGAAAACAGCTAAGAGTATACTACGTTACAGTACAGTACAGTATATTGTTTACTAGTTTAAAAATGGTGTGCTAACCTAACCCACACTAACCATAAGCACCTTGACAAAACACATCCCAGTCTTCAATCTCTTCCCATTTTCCTCTTCACAAACCAAACAAGGCAGCATTTTGGTTCTGTACAATATTCTTTCAAAATTCATCGGATATGATATAATTTCAAAATTTTGTCACAAATGTAACTTGTGTTAATGAATTTTATGTGGAGGTTTCTTAGTGGTGGTGCAATGGAAATTAACCCTTTTCATGGTTTCGGCCGTACTAGTACGGCTTATGCACCAGGGTTTTTGACGTACTAGTACGCCTAAATTCTAGCGCCCTCAAAGCTGTTGAGAAAGCTGGTAGGCCTACATATGAAAGAATGGGTCTATGTGGTCAGTGTGCGCAGTATAAAAAAAATCCTGCAGCACACAGGGCGTAACGAGAAAAAAAAACTGACTTTTTGGATTAAAACGGCGACTTTGCACTGTATTTTCGTATGGTATTTATTGTTGTATTCTAGTTTTCCTGGTCTCATTCTATAGAATGGATGACATATTACAGAAATTGAGATGATTTTGACTGATTTTACAATGAAAAGTACCTTGAAATTGAGCTCAAAGTAGCAGTGGGAGACGGCCTACTTGTTGAGAAGAAAAAAAAAAAATTTAAATATATAATATATATATATATATTATATATATATATATATATATATATATATTATTTATTATATTTATATATTAATTATAATTATATATATAATATATATAATTTATATATTATTAAAATTATATATTATAAAATATATTTATATATATGGGTAATATATAATATATTTATAGTAGGTAGTGGGTTGGTAGACGCAACCACCCGGGGGAGGTACTCCCGCCCTGAAAAAGGCTTTGTAAACGAAGCCGTGTTTTTTTTAAATGATGGTGGGATTGCTGAGTCTTTTGTCTGCTCAAAATAGCAAGATTACAGGCATGTTTGCATTCTACTTACATTGGTCACACTAACCCATCTGTACACTTTTTTTTTTAAAACACACCCATCTATTTTTTCTTTGATTTTATTTTAAATAGTTTTTGGTTTATTAATTTTCCTTTTATATCCATGGGGAGGGAAATAAGAATTTTTCCCCGTAAGCCAGGTGTTGTAAAAGAAAACTAAAATCCCGGGGGAACAAGGGGCTAGAAACCCCCCTTTTCCTGTAAAGATTACTAAAAAGAAAAGAAGAAAAAAATTTGTAAAGTGGGAAGTCTGAATGTGCGGGGATGTTGTGGATGATAAAAAGAGATTTGGGATGTTATGAAGGGAAAAGAAGCTGGATGTCCGGGCTTTAAGTGAAAAAAAGCTGAAGGGGGGGGGAGTTTCAGTGGAGAGGAATAAATGGTTAGGTCAGGGGTTTCAAATAGAGTTAGAGCTAAAGAAGGAGTGCAATAATGTTGGGATAAGTTTTGGGCGGGAAAAGAGGGACTAAAATGTTTTAATTTAAAGGTTTATGTGGGAAAAAAAAAGTTTGGATGGAAAAGGGGGTTATAATAAGCGGGGTATGCCCTGGAAAGAGAAAAGGGGTTAGGAGAGAGAGAGATTTTGGGAAATTTGAGTGAATGGTGGGGATTTTTGAATCAAGTGTGGAGAAAGGGTGGTTGGGGTTTTAAATGCTAAAGGGGGGTAAAAAATGTTATGGAGGGAGTAGTGGGGAAAATTTGGGGGGTGCCAGGGGTAAATGTAAATGGGGGCCTTTTTTTGAGCTAGGGTTTAGAAAAAAAATTTTTGGTAATAAGAAAACTATTTTTAAAAAAAAGGGGGATAAATAAATATAAAAGGGTATGATGGACGTAATGAAAGTAGTTTATTGATTTTTAATTGGGGGAAAAAAAAGGTTTGGGTAGGCTCCAGGATGTAATTTTTTTAGAGGGGCAATGATATAGGATCATTTTTAGTTGTGCACAGTTAGAGTAAGAGGTAGAGGGGAAAAGAGGAAGGGGGGGGGCAACAAAAAGTAAGAGGGGAATGAAAGTGTATAAAAAATAAGGGAGGAGGAAGTTCGGGTGAATATAACGATATTGGGAGAAAGGGGGGCTAGTGCAAAATGAGTAGGGGGGGGTTGAAGAGGGTTGGAATAGTTTTAAAATGCGTATTAGAATGGGGGCAGAAGTTTTTGGTTTAGGGGGGTGGGGGGAGGAGGGGAAAAAGGAGTGATTGGGGGAATGATGAAGTAAAGGGTGTGATAAAAGAAAAAAGGTAGTTTTGAGGGTTTTTACAAAGCAGAAGTGTTATAAGAGAGCAAATATATGGAGAGTAAAAGAAAGGTAAAGAGAGTGGTGGAAGTGCAAAAGGAGAGCAGAGATAGAGGGGGAGGGGGCACTTTTAAGAAATTTTAATGAAAATAAGAAAAAAATTTGGGGTGAGTTAAACAAGTTAAAAAGCCTAGGGAAAATTGGATTTGTCATTAAAAACAGGTAGGGGGGTTAGTAGAGGGGAGTGGAGGGATTGGGTAAAATGGCGAGAAATTTTGAGGAACTTTAAATTTAAGGGGAAAACGAGGCAGTAATTTCATGCACTGGTCCCGGGGGTATACCTCTTTAGGAGTGAAAAAAGAGCAGAATGTAAGTGTGGGGGAGGTACGTGAGGCTTCGTAAAAAGAAAGGGGGTAAAACAGCTGGGAATAGGGATCATGACAGAATGTTAAAAACGGGGGGGGAAAAGTGTTTGGGGTGGTTGGTACTTTTGTTTAATAAAAGTTTGAAAAAGGGGGGAAGGGACCCAGGGGGTGGCAGAGAGCATGTATAGTCCCTTTATATAAAGGGGAAAGGGGGCAAAAAAGGGGTAAAAATTATAGAGGAATAAGCTTTCTGGTATACAGGAAAAAAGGGCGGTAGGGGTTTTAATTGAAAGAATTAGAGGTAAGACAGAAGTAGGATTGCGGATGAGCAAGGGGTTTTGAGTGGGTGGGGATGTGTAGATCAGGGTTTACATTGAAGATTTTGTGAACATATTAGATAAAAATAGGGAAATTTTTTTATTTATGGTTTAGAAAAAAACAATGAAAAGGGGGATAAGGAGCAATGTGGCAGATTTGCAAATAATGGAATAGGTGGTAAGTTATTAAATGTGTAAAGAGTTTTTATGGGGTAGGAGGCTCAGGTTAGGGTGTGAGAAGGAGGGGGACTTTCCCCGGAAAAGTAGGTTTGACGGGGTGTGTAATGTACCATGGTTGTTTAATTATTTTTGTGGGGTTGTAAAGGAAATAAATGCTGGGTTTGGGAGAGGGGTGGGGTTAAATTATGGGGAAAAAAATTCAAAATGGGAAATTGACACATTTACTTTTTGCTGATGTACTGTGTTATGGGAATTCTAAAGAAAAATTGCAAGGTTATGGTATTTTGGGAATTTGTGTAAAGGTAAAAAATTAAAAGTGAACATAGAAAAGAGAAGGTGATGGGGGTGTAAAATGTTTTTGATAAAAAAAAATTGGTTTAAAAAATTGGGGAGGGGGAGTATGGAAAAGTGAATTTTTTCAGTATTTGGGATTGACGTGTGGCGGATGGATTTATGAAGGAGAGGTTAATATAGAATTGATGGGGGAAAAAAAAGGAGTGGTGCGTTGAGGTATATGTGGAGTAAAAAAAACGTTATCTTGGAGGCAAAGAAGGGAATGTATGAAAAGTATAGTATACCAACACTTTTTTGGGTGTAAAAGCTTGGGGGGGAAAAACAGCACGAGGAAGGGTTGGAGGCAGCGGAGATTCCTGTTTAAGGGCAATGTGTGGTGTAAATATTATGCAAAAATTCGGAGGTGAAATTTGGAGAAGGTGTGGAGTTAATAAAAGTATTAGTCAGGGCAAAAGGGGGGTTTTTGAGGTGGTTTTGGTCATTTAGAGGAATACACAGTAGAATGACAGGAACATAAAATCTATAGGGAAAAGGAAAGGGGGGGAGGGGCCCTCGAAAGGGTTGGAGAGGGGGGGGTAAAGGGGGTTTTGGGGGAAAGGGGCTTGGACTTCAGCAAGCGTGCGTGAGGGGTTTTAATGGATGAATGGAGACGAATGGTATTGGGACCACGACTGTTGGAGTGTGGCAGGGGTAATTTTTATAAAGGGATTCAGGGGAAAGGTTATTTCAAAAAGTGGGATTGGCCTGGAATGGGAAGTACAATGCCTGCCTTTAAAGGAGGGGTTTGGGGTATTGGCTTTTGGGGGATAGTTGTTATTTTATTGTTTATGCTTTAGCTTTGTATTCTGAGCCCCTCTGCAAAAACAGTGAAATGTGCGAGTGGGGAAAGTGTTGAATGAGATGAAAGTATTTTTTTTTTGGGGGATTTTCTTTCTTTTTTGGTCCCCTGCCTCGGGGGAGAGGGCCCACTTTTTGAAAAAAAAAAAAAAAAAAAATATATATTATATATATAAAATTATTTATATATATTAAAAATATATATTATATATATTATATTATATATATATTATATATATATATATATTTTAAATTATAATATATTTATATATATATTTTAATATTATTATTAAAATTATTATATATATAAAT